CGCTGGGGGAAATAAAGAGGGCTTTGGGGTTGTTTTGCCCCCCGTTACCAGACTTCCCTTTGGGCGGCTCTGCCCCTCCTCCTGAGCTCCCCCGGGACCGGGAAGGGTCATTCGCTGTGAAAGGGAGAGATGTTAAAATTTACCAAAAATCCTTCTGCCGTGGAAAACTGGGTCTCTGGTGACGGGGACAGGGGAGTCCCCAAGGGAATAGAAAAGCAAGTCTTTATGCCGTCATTTAATAGCTGTCTTTGAAACTCATGGCCTTGTATGAGTAATTGCACCGTTATTTCCAGAGGTGGACTGCCGTCCAGGAGTTAAAATGCTCTTTTTGTACTTACTGGTATGTTGATTGCACAAAGATGACACAGTTCAGCTTTTCCACGTACAACCCCAGAACATTAAAACGCTCAGAATCGATCACTGTTGAACGGGCAGTAGGCAATATTAAAATGTCTTTGCTCCTCCAGAGCTCTCTGACAAAGGATTTAGGATCAGTCTCTTATCTCTTTCTTGCACCATTTTCTTACCTAGGTCTGTTTTCTGTTTACAAGCGTGAAGATGGCTGCTGCTTCTTCCTGCAATGTGGAAGAAGATGAGAGCCTGAAGGGATGTGAACTCTATGTTCAGAAGCACAACATCCAACAGATTTTAAAAGAGTGCATTGTAAACCTTTGCATAGCAAAGCCAGACCGACCTATGAAGTTCCTCAGAGAACACTTTGAAAAATTAGAAAAGGTCAGTGATTTTCAGGTGACTTACAATTTTTAAACTGAAAAAGATTGTTTAAAAAGTTTCAAATATTTTGGTACATTTTTCCTTTTAAATTTTAAATTATCAGGCTACTGTTAAAAAACAGGCTGTTAGAAGAAAAAACCCAACCCTTTATTTGCTGATGTCTTCTATAATATTGGCTATTGTATGGAATTTTTTGTGTATAACACCAAGATTATAATTTCTTGTCAAACTGTACTTGTTGAAAATGACCCAAAGAGTTACGAGCGTACTTTGTGTTATACTATATGGTGTCCTGAACTCTCATCTGTGGGAAGAACCTGCCTGCGAGAGCAAAAGATGCTGTTCCGTTTATTCCAGCATCAGGTGATATTGTTTTCCCTTCCCCTAAAACTGAGCAAAATCAGGGAACCAGAAAGTTCTGAAAACCATCAGTTTGCCATTTAATTTTACTGCTCTTGCCTGCCTGTATTGCTTATCCCAAGATCCTTCAACAAGAGATGCATTCAGAGAGACTGCGTATGCTGTGGTTGTCTTCAAAAGCAGTGTAGAGGGGGAAACATTTTAAAACATTCTCAGACAAATCCTTACTAAAGCCTATGGGTGTCTTTTGCAGGAAGAGCATGTTGTGTGAGCACAACTTTTCTCTGGGGATGGGATTTCTCCAGAAGTAAACGGGAGCACAGGGCTGCAAGTTGTTGGTTATACAACTCCTCAGTCTGCCAGAGACTTTATTAATGTACTTAGTTTAAGAAGAGGATTATTAACTTTTTTTGAAGGAAATGTCTAAAGTTTATAGGCTTAACATAGGAGTTTTATGTAGTTTCTTACTTCTAGAGGCAGAATGTTGTAAGGACAGAGAAAGAACAACACTACCTAGTGAATAATGTGTAGAGCTGATATATTACAGGTGATACAAGCATTTTATACATCTCATTGTCTGCTGTTCAGATAAATTTTTGTATAGGTGAGTATATGCCAAATTTGTGTAGCTTTATAAAAATGCAAACATTGCATTTTGGTGGAAGCCCAGTAAGAATGCCTGGAACATCAGGAAGGGTTAGGAAGTACAAGATGTTTTTTAATTCTAATGATTATTATTAAAAAAAATAGTCTTAGTTCTGCATATTCTAAACTTCTGAGAGCCAAGACCCATTTCAAGAGAGTGAAGTCTGTTGAATTTCCTTTATTGTGTTATGAATTGTTATCCATCTTAATGTGTGTAATTCCGGACTTCCTGTATAGAAGAATAAACACCATTTTTGCAAAAAATGTTAAAATATGCTGTAGTATTTTAGAACATTCTCCATAGCTAGTGGGATTGCTTGAGTTGTTGTACTGGAGGAGTTTGGCTTTATTGATCTAAGCACAGTACACAGAATTGAGATAGGAAGGCAGTTCATATCCTTGAGAAATGATATATTCTTTCACGTAATCTATTATTTCCCAAAGAACAGAGGATACCAGAATTCTGTAGCAGGATTTCTATCAGGATGCAAACACAGAAGCTGATGGATATAATTTGTCTCAAAATGAAAGGAGATGATTTAGAAACAACCAGTCTCAAGGCATCACATTTGGTGAATATCATGCTTAGTATGGAAGGAAGCTATCTTGCCACTGACTGTAGAGCAGCCTGGGAGCTAAGCCTGCTGAGTCTAAAGGATTTAGGATGCCTCTGGAGGTTTCCAGCACTGTAATTCTTGTTCCTACAGCAGTTTGACTTCCTTGCCCAACCATCTCTGAGGACTTTCTTGAGCTGAATTGCACTGTGGAGGATTTTCTGCTGTAGGATAATATTTTGACTTGGTCAGTTGCATAATAACAGTTGAAGGAAGGCTTGTAAAAATAGAGAAATCATTTCAGTAAGTTTTTTCCTGTTTTTAGAAGATACTTGCCATATATAGGTACTCTGAAGAATCTTAGTTGAATTGTCAATTTAACAGTTGCGTGTTACAGGCAACTTTTTATATGTGAATGACCAATACACTGATATGTCATGTTTGCCTTTAGCTCCTTTAATTTTGGTCCTGTGTAGGGAGAGGAGTGAAAATCTTTGGTTTAAGCATGGTTTTCTAAATGAAGTAATGCATTTTTCCGCCAAAGTATGGTGTTTCAGGGTTATTTTCCAAACTCATTAAAATAGACAACACGTTCCGCTGACGAGAGTAGTAGAAAAACAGTGTATCTGTCAAAAATTCATGTGGGCAGTTTACAGATGAAGCGTGGGATATTTTTCAAGTGGTTAAAAAAGGACCTTATGGAAAAAGCGTAGAGCTCAATCCATGTCAATGTGCTGGAGCTACCTCAGAGGTGAATACAAAAGAAAGTTTATTTCAGTTTTCTAATTCTTACTACATCTCATAAAATCAACTCAGAAAAGCAAAATTTATTATCATATTCAAGATCAGACCAGAACATAAATGCTTTTCACTTTACCTCTGATGACATCAGAGTTAGGTCCATTGCCTTCATCCTTCATCTGTACTGCTAAATGAAGAAGGCCCAGAGACTAACCCCTGACCCCGCAACACTAACTGGTCCAAGATATAATTCTTAGGTCTAACATGTCTAGGAGCAGGTTTGTTTTGGCAGGAGTGAGTTCAAGCAGCTCAGAACAGAGCCAGGGAATGAGCTAATAGTTGAGAGATGTGGCCTGTCTTGGGCTAATATTCAGGTCCGTGGCTAGGCCATTTTTAATTTCAAATTGACACAGCCTGAGAGGGCTGTAAAGTGAGAACATGAATAAATACTTATGAATAAAGTACTAGAGATTGAAGGTTTGATGTTTGATTCTGCAGTCATCGTTTTCAGCTGGAGAAGTGCCAAGGTTAGAAAGAAATGTCTGATGCCTTTTTAAGTTTGCAGCTTATTTGTATCAAGTAAAATATTAAAAAACATAACTGAAAATAATTGCAGGAGAACTTTAATAGATATTTTTCTGTTCACTTGATACTGGCAGGACCTGCTTTTCTTAAGATGCCAGTAATTGCTGGGAATCAGCCTAAGTTTCTATATGCTGAAGTTTGCAAGTCAGTTTTTATATGCTGTGACCTACAAAGTTTAAGATGACATCTACTCTGATCATGTTAGCAGTTACTTTGTAAAAATCTCTAACATTCCATTGAGCACAGAAAAGAGTTGAAAATGGTTTAGGTACATGAGATTTAAAAAATTATGTAATGTTTTCTTTTGAATAATTTGTTTTGCATATCCCTGTGACTGTATAGAACTTGTTGTTGGTGGATGGGGTGAGGAAAACTTTTCCCTTAAGGGTATTAATGGGCTTTTTTAGAGTGGGGGAATAGATGTTAGCAAAGAAACTGGCATTATTTTAACAGCTGTAATTACATAGTGTTTACTTGAAGACTAAAGAAGGCATTGCAAAAAAACCAGGGAACCCATCTTTTATCTCTGGTTCTTACCTTATGTGAAAAAGTTCATTACTAAGAATTTACGGGCAAAGATTTGTATTTTCAGCTATATTGAGACTGCATTTCCAGGTAATATTGTTTTGCATATACTGAACTTACTGTCTTGTATTGCTGTGGATTGGCAGTGGTTTTATGGACCCAGGCTGATGCTGCATGTCTTAAGATACCATCCAAAAAGAGAGTTTTAGAAAAACCTGGACTCTACTGACTGTAATTAAATAAAGCAAAATGAGATTATCTGTGTAGCTCCACCTGGTGATATTAGACAGTATTGCATACAGACTTGGTCAGGAAAACAACAGCATTTGTATGACAGGTTTGCTGTAAACTAGCACGGAAAAGGAAGTGTTTAGTAAATTACGAATTCATTCACTGTTAGAAAAATAAAGTTTATTTATTTATCATAAAAAGTTTCAGAACCAAGGGTATTTGAGCATCAAAATTTGAGCATCCAGCTTTTCTTCTGCAACACTAGTCTCTCCCAATATTTACATTTTGTCACAACAAGAAGCTTTTCAGTCAATAATATCCACCAGCATATGTCCAAAACAATGAAATTAATTCTTATAAGTACAGGTGATTATGCTAAGTATAACTCATTAAAATAAACTGGGGAGAAGTTATGGATTGGAAGGAAAATCCTATGGAAGAAAAAACTATTGAAAAAATGCATTCACTAAGCAGTTTGATAAAGACTAATACCACAAATATTTCTGTATCTTTCAAAGCTTGCCAAGCAGTCGGGCAATATCTGCTGGGTAGTCAGAAATGTTGCTGAAGCGTGTGGGAGCATACCTGAGCAACCTGAGACACTGATAGCAACAAAATGGTGGGAGCACCGGGTGCCTTTGCAGTGTGACTGCGGTTCTGAGTAGGCTTGGGTCGCCTCTGCTCCTGCCTCTCCACTGATGCCGGTGCCGGAGAGAGCTGGATGAAAATCAGCTCAGGTCAGACCTCTGTGATTGCGTAGTGAGCCAAAGGCAAGCGTTACAAGAGGTGACAGTTTTCTTGGAACAGGTAAAGGAAAAACTAGGTGAACTTTTAAGACCCCTCAGGCAAGCTTTCCTAAATGCAGGAGATTTAGGGAAGGGTGGAGGATGAAGGGGATAAGAGCAGAAAGACAAAAAGAACCTTTTCCTAAGAAATAACGTTGGTTATAAGTGAAGCCATGCTCTTATGAGCTTGTGCAGAACATGTTAGAGCATTGCTCAGCTCCCTTTTTACTTGGTGTGTCTACAAGTGTGAGTAGCTTTTCCGGTCCCAAAGTCAAAAACTTAACAAAAATGGAGTGTAGTTATGGAATGATAAGGGAAGTCTGTTTGGATGTCGTCTTTGTTTCACTTTGTTTCTCAAGCTATCATGTTTTACATTCATCAGGATACTTAATCCATGTTAATCTTGAAGCATTTAAGTGGCTTTAAAGAGACAGGTTCATACTTAGCTTTAAACACATGAATTAAATACCTTGCCAAATTTGTGTAAAGTTAAAAATGGTGCTGGGTCAGGCACTGTCTGATGGCAGTTTAGAATACAACAGACTTTGGGAAAGCTCTTGATGCTAATGGGCCT